GGTACTTTCAGAGCAGAGGTGGGAAGTTGTGTGTGTACAGCAGGCTCACTCCGCCATTATGGGAATTCTGTGGATAAGGAGAAGGGTTTCGTTCTCCAGGGCTGCCGAGCCTGCACATTTCACCCAGCTTCCATTTTTGAAGCCTCACCCTCCATGACACCTTTTTCCCCTTAGGCCTCTTTCGAAATTTGATGTTTCCATGCTGTGCAGTGACAGGCAGAAAAAGCAAATCTTTGAAGTGTGGAGAACAAGAAATGAACCCCCCCATTTACTTTTATGGCAACCAATGCAGCTACCAGGGCAAATCTTTCCCTCCACATTCAACTTTTCTCCACTCCTGTTCCCCTTGAAAAGTCAAATGCAACTACTCATTGGAGGGGGTCCTCTTACCATCACTGATTAGTATCCACCCATTCTCTTAACTGCTCTCTAAGTGCCCTGAGCCCCCATCTGAACCCCCAACTCCCCAAGCACTGCCTTCGAAGTCTTTCCTGGGATGAGTAAGGGCTATTTCTTGCAATCTCACAAGTCTGTGAGGAATTGCTTCCCTTCCTTCTGTGTAGCTGCAGATGGCCGACATTCTGTGAATATCCTTTCGAATGTATAGGAACAAAGTCCAGGGTGTGTGCACAGACTAGGATTCAGGCTCACCAAACAGGTCAGCGTCATGACCGCAAGAAGGCCACTCCCAGAATAAGAGTGAGGAAGTGGGACAGGTGAAGTGGATGGCATCCGATCGACAGCATCATGCCACTAATTCTTCCATGCAGATCTAGGAGCAAACATTTCTGCAACCATACCCAGCACCCTGTATATCCCAATTATAATGACGGTGTTGAATTTCATGAGCATTCACACCTTTGAGCCAGTGTGCAATTTCAGGGTAAGAATAAAAAATGCTGAGATGCTGAATTGGTGTGAAGCCAGGTAAATAACAGAACCCAATTCCACAGACATGCTTTTCCCCCAGAGAGTGAGGGCTTTCTCCATTACCTTGACAAGAAAGATGTTATTCAGGAGGCAATAATAGGACTCTTCTACCACATCTTGGAGTTTGTCTTGGAGGATTTTCTGTCTTTCAGCATCAGATTTACAGGCCTCAATCCCCAGAAACATGGCCATGAGTGTCTGGATGACAAAAAAATTCTGCTGCACATTTATCTTCGTCAGCTCCATAGCAATAACCCTGCATGGTGAAAATGAAGAGAAATTATAAGGAAGTTCTAATGGGGAGTCAAGAAGAGCCAGGACATTCTGAGAAAGAATTACAGAAACACAAACCTACCACTTACCACATGGACATCTAGACACATAGAAAAAACTTCCAAATGAAGGAGAAATAATGGAACCAGGGTTCTTCAGCACTTTCTGATCAACCTCCAAGTCAACTACAAGACATTTCAGCCCCTGATTTTCTTTATGGATAAATGGCTGAGGATCAGCAAAGGATTTGAGCAATGTCTCCTGGTCTCTGTTTCCGCCATGGCTGGTACAAAGCATCCTAACCCCAGAGCTCAGCCTCTCCATTTTTCGCTTTTGTTTGTGGGACACAAAAGATTAACAGCCTTGAACTGATCTCCAACCACCTTTTCTAACCACACCCCTTAGG